GGCTCGCTCTCGCTGTCCTCTGAACCACGAAGAAGGCGTTATGAAGCCTGGGAAGCACAAGGGTTAAGCACTGGTTTACTAACCGAAAGGTTGGGAGTTTGAACCCACCCAGCAGCTCCCTGGGAGAAAGACATGGGGGAATCTCTTCCTGTAAAGATGACAACATAGAAAACCCTGGGGTCACTGTGGGTTTAAATCAACTTGATGATCCCAACAGCAAGCACCCCCTCAAAGAGCAGCTCTAGTTTGTTCAGCACTGTAACTCAGAGGACTGAATGACTGATGGCTCTTTCTGCAACTGAGGACAGTCCATTGAAACCACTGCCACTGAGTCCCTTCAGATTCATGGAAGACCGGAACAAAGACGTGGCAAGCTGCTTATCCACAGGAGTGCTACCACAGCGGCCCCGTGGGCACAGTAGAACCAAGCTGTATGCGTTTCCAAGCCTGCAAAGCTTCCTGGGAGCAGGCTGCCTCATTTCTCCCCTGGCAGCCTGAAGGCAGTTGAAAATTTGACACGGGCCCTTCTCTCATAGCAACACTCTAAGGAAAAAGTAGAACTGCCTCTGGGTTTCCGAGGCGATTACTCTTTATGTGAGTAGGAAGCCTTCTCTTTCTCCCGAGGAGCTAGCTACTGATAGTTTTGAACTGTTGATCTTGTGGTTAGCAGCCCAACGCATTGCCACCGCACTACCAGGGCTTGAATTCACAACAGCAGCAAAACCAAACTCACGGCCACTGAGTCAACGCAGACTCATAGTGACCCTACAGGACAGGGTTGAACTGCCTGGTGAGTCCCCGATACACCAGAGTAGAAAGCCCTGTCTTTCTCCCGCAGAAGCGGCCGGTGGTTTAGAACTGCTGACCATGCAGATCCCAGCCCAACGAGTAACCACTATGCCCCCCAGGGCTCCCTCTCAGTCACAAAGCAGGGTGCAAACATGTTTGGAGCACCAACAGGCATGTTGCCCTACTCCAGTGCCTCCTGGGGAGCTAGCCAGCCCTCCTGTGGATAAGCAACTTACCGCGTCTCAGTTCCAATCTTCCATTTCGGTGCTAACAATGTGTTAGGGAACACACACGTCCTGGTGTCTTTCTTAGAACCACAAGGACTTGCTTTTATTTTTCTTAGTTTTCCGCATCGGGTTATAGGGACATGTGAAAGGTACTGGGCAAATGCCAAAGGCCAGCTTGATTATTGGTGGAGAAGCAAGATCTGAGACCCGCACGCCTTCACATCAGCTCTCCTGCCAGAGACCCGCCCTTTCCTCCCAAGGGGGTTGGCTCTTACCAAACGCTCAGGGGTAGGGCTGTCAGAACTTCTGGAGAGGAGACTCTCAGTACTGAAAATGCGAATGCTCCTGGCGTTATGTCTTCCTGAAAGGACAGGAGAGAGTGAGCCCCTGAAGGCTGCATCCCAGACGATCGTCACATCATGGGTGAAGCTGGCTTGGGAGGTGCCTGGTATTTTCTGCTTCAGGCCTCATGTCCTGAGCTCAGAGGGCCCGGGCTACAATGATGCTCTTTCAGGGCCCTAGCACCCTCAGTGCCCCCAGCGCTGGTGAAGCTGAAAAGAATGCTTCTGGGCGGGGGGTGGGGTGGGGGGGTGGGGGGGTTCTCTTCACACCTAGACACTCCCTTCACGTCTCAGCCACCTGAACGTCCACATTCACCCCAAACCAAACTCATTGCTATGAGTCGATGTCCACTCACAGCGACCCTATAGGACAGGGTAGAACTGCCCCGAGAGTTTCTGAGGCGATCACTCTCTACGGGAGTAGAAAACCCTATCTTTTTCTGGGGAGCGGCTGGTGGTTTTGAACACTGACCTCAATGCATAACCTTTACACCACTGGGGCTCCTCTACTTAACATCCGGACAAACCCAAACCCCAAGCCCAGGCTGGTCTCCTCCTTCTGCAAAGCTCTCTAGGCCTCCGTGGGAGCTGCACCTGGCATGCAGACTACCCTGTTTTCTTAGGTGCCCTCTGAGGGGCAGATAGGGCTGCCAGCTGAGAGGGAGTGGCTGCGGATGGGGGAGAGGGGTGCTCCCCAGCAGAAGTGTGATGTCTTTGCACTGGAGGCAGTAAGCACAAGGACTTACCTGGCTCTTCTTGCCTCTGAGGCAAGAAGTCATAAACGTTCTTGGACCTTTCTCTACGTTGAGGCAGGGTCAGCGAGGGGGTGACAGTCACTCGGAGGTAGGGAACCGGGACTGGGAGGCAATCAGAGAGCTGGGAGTCAGTCAGGGCAGGGATCCACTGTACAGATTGTGGATTCTTGGGCTTGGAATGATCCCTGAAAATACACCCCCCCTTGTATTTATTATAGCAAAATACGTTTTCAGACTTGACCAGTCCCCATTTGAGCCAGACAAATCGAGGGACTTGGTAAATAGAAGCGGGGACCAAAAAATGGAGCTAGAGGGCCAATGATTTTCACAACCGAACTCAGAGCAGCACTGGGCATTGGGAAGCTTTGGCTCAGAATCTTAAATGAGACCGATTTATCTAAAGATGGACTGAGTCACGAAGAATGTGTCACAACTAGAAGGGATAAGAACGTGAGACACCCTGGTTCAATAGGTTGCCCCTGGAAAAGGCCTTGGTGTGGGAAGCTTTCAAAACCAGCTACTGTCACGACACATGGAATCCAGGAACAGGAACGGGAATAGCAGTACCAGAAGAGCAGGGAAAGGTAGGGAGAGGAGGGGAGGAAGGGAGAACCTATCACAGTGATTGACCCCCAGGGGACGAACAACAGAAACCATGGGGGAAGAGAGCCAGCAGTCAGTATAAGATATGAGAATAATAATAGTTTATAATTTATCAAGGGGTCATGAGCGTGGGTGGGGGGAGGAAAAAAGAGAAGCTGATACCAAGGGCTCAATAGAAAGTAAATGTTTTGAAAACGATGCTAGAAACTGTGGGGGAAGGGAGACAGCGGTCAGTGTAAGCTATGAAAATAATAATAATATAAAATTTATCAAGGGGTCATGAGCGTGGGTTGGGGGAGGAAAAAAGAGAAGCTGATACCAAGGGCTCAATAGAAAGTAAATGTTTTGAAAACGATGCTGGAAACATTGTACAAATATGTTTGATACAACTGATGTATGGATTGTTATAAGAGCTGTAATAGCCCTCAATAAAATGATTTTTTTTTTAATTGACCATCAAGCCCAAGGCCTTAAGGGGGACAACACTGGAGACCCAGTGTCGGGACTGGCCCAGAATGACCCTGTGACACTGAGGCAAACCACTAAAAGCCTGCGGCAGAGCAACCATGGGAGCAGAGCAGAGAGCCCCCAGGGAGTACAAAGGACAGACTCTGGGGCCAGAGCATGGTACCCCATCGGTCCTGACTGAAGGACAC